AAGTTGGTCATTAGTGGTTTGTTGCTGCGATGGATAATAATTTTGAAAATCATCAAATTGTGGCTCTCTATGTTGAAACTCGTTCAAATCTTGGTCCTGAAAGCTTTGCTCGTATGTGTTGGTATAAGTGTTCCAATAACATCTGTTGGTAATTTCGACGAAATTCGTCACTTTTGGTGATCCCCAGCATTGATCGGTGTAATGATTTCCACCACATGTTGAACAAAACAGAGGCATATCATAGGTGTTTTGGAGGTATTCGTCAGATGGAAGCCATTCATATCCCATTTGAGGTGCCCGAACATTGTAACCAGACATGTAACAAAAACAAAAAAAAATCAAAATTAAAAATTTGTTGTAAATCGCCCTAATTGTATTGCTCTTCGGTTTGATGATTGTGGAAAATAAAGTATGACAACAGAATAAAAGATAGAGAGAGAATGCAAAGACAAAAATCCGTAGAGAGATTAATAAGGGTGTAAATATGGGGGAGGGAGAATTCCATTATATAGGTGAAAAACCACCGGGAGTTACAAGAGAAGTTACAGAAGAGGTTTTCTAGCACTAACACATAATGGGAAGACATGGGTATGGGGTAGGTTAGTGATTTAGTGGGGAGTTGGGTGGTTATGTTAGGAAACCCCACACACACATATTATTTACAACACTCCCCCTTGGGGATTCCTATCAAAACCACTATTGTGCATTTCATGTTGCCTCATTAAAACCTTCCGAGTAATAAAACCCAGTGGGACAAAACAACCTCGGTTAGGAAAAATAGTACAACGCACAATCTTTCCAATCAGCTATATTGCCTCGTTAAAACCTTTAGCGGGTAACCAAAAACCCCGTGGGAAAATAAATCCGCAAAAAAGGAAAAAGAGTACAACGGGGCATCTAGGTATCTTCTGGATACTAAGTACCTATAGGGTACTCCCCCTCAAGTTAACTCCCCCTGATGTCTATAAGGCAGCGAGCTCAGATAATCTACGTAGGCCAATAGCCTTAACATGCTTTTCAAAAGTGACTTTAGGTAATGACTTAGTAAATAAATCAGCGCAATTATCCTGACTTCTGATCTGGTGGATCATTATTTGTTTGAGCTCTTGTTGTTGCTGATTGAAGAAAAACTTTGGAGCTATATGCTTGGTGTTGTCACCTTTAATGAAGCCCGTCTTTATTTGTTCAATGCATGCTGCATTATCCTCGAATATGATCGTAGGATCTTCCGTGGTAGCCAATCCACAGGATTCTCGAATATGCCCATTCATGGCTCTAAGCCAAGTACATTCACGCACTGCCTCATAAAGTGCTAAAATCTCTGCATGATTCGATGAGGTGGCAACTAAGGTCTGTTTTGTAGACCTCCAAGACACAGTTGTGTTCCCAATGGTAAACACATATCCAGTTTGGGAACGAGCTTTGTGTGGGTCTGACAGATACCCAGCGTCAGCATAACCCACAAGCTTTGCATCCTATAATGATGCATAGGGATAAAACAAACCCATGTCTATTGAACCCTTAAGGTAACGAAATACGTCCTTTACACCATTCCAATGGCGGCGTGTTAGTGCTGAGCTAAACCTTGCTAGCAAATTTACCGCAAATGCGATATCAGGTCGAGTACATTGAGCTAAGTACAATAATGCGCCTATTGCACTTAGGTACGGCACTTCAGGTGCTAACACTTCTTCGTCCTCCTCCACAGGACGGAACGGATCCTTCGACCTATCCAATGATCGGACTACCATAGGCGTGCTCGATGGTTTCGCTTTATCCATATTAAAGTGTCTTAACATCTTCTGGATGTAGTTCGATTGATGGACCAAAATTCCATCAGCACGGTGTACTATCTCAAGTCCGAGACAGAAATTAGTCCTACCGAGATCTTTCATCTCAAACTCATGTTTTAGGAGTTGGGTTGTTTCACGGACTTCTTCAGGAGTCCCAATCTAATTCATATCATCAACATAAACTGCTACAACAGCAAACCCATAACATGTTTTCTTAATAAACACGCAAGGACAAATATCATTGTTCACGTATCCCCTTCCGAGCAAGTATTCACTTAGGCGATTATACCACATTCTTCCAGATTGTTTCAAGCCATAAAGTGATCGTCTCAACCTAACTGAGATCGTGTTCCGTGGTCTGGAACTAATTGCTTCGGGTAATCGAAGTCCTTCAGGAACTTTCATATATATATATATATATATTTGTATCTAGATCCCCATATAGATAAGCTGTGACCACATCCATGAGCTGCATAGTCAGTTCCTCGTATACAACCAAACTGACTAGGTATCTGAATGTAATAACATCCATAACAGGAGAATATGTCTCCTCAAAGTCAATCCCAGGTCGTTGAGAAAATCCTTGTGCTACGAGACGAGCCTTATATCTCATAATCTCGTTTTTCTCATTTATTTTCCTTATGAATACCCATTTATATCCCACGGGTATAACTCCAGGAGGTGTAGGAGCTACCGGCCCAAACACTCCCCTTTTTACCAATGAGTCAAACTCAGCCTGGATTGCTTTTTCCCAATTCGGCCAATCATCCCTC